CTATCAAAATAAAGACATTGTATAGTGTTCATAACAGTATTTGTATTTAATAAGTTATACTTGATCAGGGCTCGACATTAAGGATTGCCCAATGCCCGGGGCCATCTAGTATTTAGCTCGGGCAATGAAGCCTCACCTGCTGGTTGCCCGATCGGGCAATCTATTATACCAGTATCATGCAGCTCACGGATCCAGTAATGAGTGACCCGACAGTAAAACTAAACATATCTATAACTAGTTACGGTAGTTTGAGAGGTCATTAAAATAGCTACGTGTGATATTCTAACCTGAAGTGTGTGTTTTGTCCGCTCACCGCTGCATGTGATCATGCAGAGCTGCGTGTCGACTCGTCAGCAGCAGCTGATCTCTCTCTCCCGTCAGATTAGACTTCACTCGCGTTTATGTCCATATCGATCAGATGCAGCTAGTTCTAGCTAATGATATGACTACCTGCTTATTAAAAGACACCTAAACAATAAGTGTCACTATGCAACCGGGTGAGGCCGCAAAGTATAGCGCAACATTATGCATTTGTTTACATGCCCACCGGAACCCCGAGGCATTACCAACAGATCAACGCACAATCAACCCATACAGGACAGCTCTTTCTCCACATTAAGTGTTACACATTAGAGTTGACTACTCTCGTCTGTCACATACTCTTCTTGTCTGTCACATAAGTGGCGCAACTGAAGCGGTATTGTGCTAAGGGGAAATGATTTTGACCGGAGAGATTTGGATTTGCCGGTCTTCAGCATATTTTTACCAGTCATAGTCCGGTAATTACAGGCTAACGGGAACTCTGAGTCACATATTGGAAAAGAGGGGAATTAGCAAAACTATTGGGACTGTTTTTGTTTCTGTATAACTCCTATAACACCTGAATGCATCAACCTCTGATGCTGTAAAGGGATGGCTGACCCTAAAAAACTAATATTCATATTTCTCGAATATGATCGCACTCTTAGGTGCTTGTGATGGCGAGAGATGTTAACATCCTCCTCTGATGAGCTGCAAAGTTAGCTAGCTCATGAGAACTTCTTGCCCATTTTCGTTGTGCTGTGATTTGGTCTGGGGCTGCACTCTGGTAGAACGAAAAAAACAATCAACATAAGACGGCTCTCAACAAGTTTTGCTGATTATCTTCAGTGACTGGGTCATGAATTCTGAAAGGATATACAGTATTGCTGTTGACTTTTTCAAATGTGTTTTTATGGCATTTGAAGCACCACAAGTGGATTTTGGGGCTATTTTCCCTTTTGAAACCTTTTTATTTCCTTGACAATGCAATATGGGATGTATTGTAAAATGTGTATATTTCAGTATTTTCCCTTTTTTTCCAGAATGTGCAAAAGTCATTGTTCCCAATATCCTAAATGTAACTTTGTAATTAATGATCAATTGTTTGTATTTTTCTCTCCATTTCAGATCCCAGCCATGGAAAGAAGGGTTATCACTCCGTATCCTGACGCCCCGGACCTCAGTGTGTATGAGGATGAGGGTTTGGACTCAGCATTTAGCCCCAAACCAGAAGCAGAACTGGATCACTCGTGCAGGTAAACAAACAAAAACATATCTTTACTTTAACTATATATCCCCTTTGTCCCTTTTTTATTTTCACATCTGTTAAAAAAACACATCACCTCTCATCATGCTGTTGACTACCAGGAAGAACATTCCATTGTGAATACTTTAATGTATACAATTAAAGTTAAGTGAAGTCTGAAAGCCCTTGCGATCCCCTTTTAAGCATCTTAAATGCACAGCCTCAAATAGCTCATTATTGTACTACTTTGTCCCCCCTCCAGGGAAATCCTGTTAAAGAAAGCCAAGATTAAGGCTAAAAAGAAACCAAGGAGACGCTCTGACAGCTCCGGAGGCTACACCCTCTCTAATATCATCCACAGCCCCCCCGCTGCAGGTAACTCCTTTGTAACGCATCAGGTAGTCTTTGTTAATAGTATTCATTTCTAACACTCTATTTCTCCTTTTTAGTGGTTTCCCCGTGCCTGGTGAAGTCAGGCAGGGCCAACTCCACAGATTCCCTGCAGGAGATGCTCACATCCGACTCGGAGGGCAGCTACGTGGGGGTGGGTAGCCCCCGAGACATTCACTCACCAGTCTTCAGGGACAGAACTGAGGTTAATGTCCGACCACAACAACAAACACATAAGTCATTCTTTGGCAAACTTAATAAAACAGATGAGTTTTTTTTACTCTTAATACCACTAGTCATTTTGCAGCACACTGTGAATGCTTCACAAACACACTACACATTGTGATACCTAACTTGTAATCATTATTCATACATTATTCTTTTTAAAAATGAAGGAATGTGGCTTCATCACATGCAAAAGTGTATATAATACAAAAGATGACTTGATTGTCATTTATTTTCTGCAGGATGATAAGGCTCTCAGGCTAAAGACCCCACCCAGCACCCCTACCTCCTTGATGGACAGCCTCCTAACTCCGCCACCCTCTGCTCAGCAAACCATCCCTAAGGGCCTTCCATGGTAAGATGGATGCAATGATCCTGTATTCTTGTTTAGAGGAATTGTTTTCACCCCTAGTCCGTTCCTAAGTGTTGAAGTGTGACTCTGCTTTTACAATCTGCAGTCCCACTCGTCCAGCCCTAGTCTTGGATCTGAGAACCATCATGGACATGCAGGCCAATTCTGTGCAGCCATTAGGAGCAACTCCGAAAAGCCCTGGAAGGTCCGGGACATCTGCTGTATTTATTCTGACTGAGGACATTATCTACAAGCACATATTAACAAATAATGACACATTTCCATTAGTACAGTTAACTGTTGATTTATCCATATATTCTTTTGCCAATTTTGAATGAAACTTTACAAGAACAAGGAGATACAAAAATCAAAAAAGGTACAGAATATGTCCACAAAAATACGCAAAACATCCACAAAAAGATTCAAAACTACTGTCTCCGTTTCATTTGTATACACTGTATAAAGACTAAACGGAGACACAAAAAAGAGAAATGAGGAGACAGAACGTAAGCTGCTAAGGGACAACAATATTCTCTTTGAAGTTGTAGCTCTTGTTGTGTAGTCGGAGGATTGGGCGCCATTTATCTTCTCATCCGTCATTGCGGACCACCACAAGAGTAAACACTATTTCATGACTGTTATTCACTTCAGCTGACACATATTTTCCCTTCCCACAGCAGTGTCATCTCCAGCCTTAAGCACTCTCCGGTTCCTGCTAAACTGTCCCAGAAGCAGAGGAAGATGTTAGCCATGGCCTACAAGGAGGCCAGTGTGGAGCCCACCACATCCCAACCCACCCCCACAGTCACCCCCTCCAAGAGCAGTGTGAAGGCCTGGTGAGTGAGCCTAAACATGAACACCACTTCTCACAACTGTTGAGAAATGACTTCCTGGTTACTGTTGATTAGTTTGTAAACCTGTACTGGTGTGATTTATCATTTATAACCTAAATGCAGTTATCCCAAGGGTTTTAGAGTCTTTCAAAGCATTGTTTCTGTTCTTAGTAATAATCACCATGTGAGAACACACTGAACGAACAGAACAGTAAGACATTAAACATAACTCAATTACTTGGAAATTAGCTCAAAGCTAAAATCCGGCTCATTTACACTTGTAATCATTATTTTGTTTTAAAGTGTTCATCAATGTGCACTGTCCCATTTCAAATAAAGGATTAAATAAATAAACTTAAAAATAGGAAGAAGAAGTTTAACTGGGCATGAGCTAAAATTTTCATTTTTTGTGTTTTTAACGGCCCGTCCACACGGCGGCGTGCGTTGAAGCTTCAATGCTTCTGCCCATTCACTTTGATTGGGGTGACGTCAAGCTTTGCCAAACTGCATTGTGGGAGCGTGCTGGCGTTGCTCGCTTCAAAAGTTGACCAATGTTCAACTTTGAAGCTTCGACGGAAGCGTCAGCCAATCAAATCATATGCCAGTACAAGCTCTAGCCAGTCAAACCGCGTGCTTGTGTGTCCGGGGCGGGAGATTCATTTGAGTGGTTGTTGGTCGAGTTTCAGACACGCCCACCCACAAGCTTCAACGCACGCCGCCATGTGGACGCTGCGTAAGCGATTTGAGCCTTGATGTCACATCAACATTATTTGACATCACACAAACAGCCAACTGTTTTTAGATTGTTTACTCAGAGCAAACACTGTAACCAGGATGTCATCTGATCTGCAAAACCAGTAAGGGTTAGATTTCCTCAGGATTCCTAATTCCATATATAATGTTTCTATTAGAGCCAAGGTGTACCAATTTATAATGTTGTTTTCCAATAATGTCAATGTTGGTAGAAAAAGCTGCACTCTATAGAGTTATAAAACATCAAACCCCTCTTAAAAAGTCAGTTCTGGCTACAAAATATTACTCTCTGACAGATAATCCTCCCTACCCACATACCTGCTTATTACAGCTGATTTTTATTCCATATTGTATTCCTCTATTCATTCCATTGCAATGTAAATACCGTTATATTTTACAATATATTTTTTAGATTTTTGTAGTTCTCTTCCTGTGTTTTTAATTCTTGTTTTTATGCACCACGATACCAAGGCAAATTCCTCGTACGTGTAAACCTACCTCGTAATAAACCTGTTTCTGATTCTGATATTGATTCTAGGAATTCAAAACAGATCTTGACAATGTTTTAAGAACATTTTTAATGATTTGTAGAGGTACAGCGTTTGGCAAATTCGAGCCTCAACAATCCTGAATTCATGTGTCATACATGCTCTCTCTTTCTCTGTGTTTCATTTATTTCCATCTGCAGGGCAACAGCAGCCCAGTCTCCACCCTCCTTGTGCTCATTTCGAGCGTTGCTGGAGGAAGAGCAGAACCGCTTGGTCAGAGTGGGTCAAACAGGAGCCAAGGGAGGCCAAGGGGCCCCCGTCTCCCCCATCTCCCCCGTCACCGCTGCTCCGCCTGCTACCAGGAGAGTCACGTTCAAATAGTGCCGGCAGCAGCGAGCCGGAGCGCCCCACGCGGTGAGCATCCATACATTAACACTAGAGAGTAAACACACAGGATAGAAAATGTGTTTCTGTTATGTTCGACTGTGTCCACTTGATGGCACTGTTGAAGTGTCTGCAAAAAACTGATATTAGTTTGTTTCTTTTTATTCAATGGAAAAGCCCTGAAACTCAATATACAAGACACAGGATACCCTAGTACTTTAATACTTACAAACCTTTTAATAATACCTAATCTAAGCCTTAAAGGTCCCATGTCATGGCCATTTCTACTGATCATAATTCCATTGTTGAGGTATACTAAAATAGATGTATACTGTGCAATTTTCCGAACTCACA